ACATTTCAAAAGTACAATGGGTGAAACAAATTCGTCTCCTGTCTCCTCTTCTCGGCCTTCCCCACCACCCCACACGCCTCCGAATATCAATCCTACCGTGTATACACTTGATTCGTGTGTGCTTCCGAACGTGTTCTACATATTTCCGGAAGCACATGAACACGTGTGTTGCAACGAGTATTCGTGTCTTACACACACATACACATACACACACACACACATCCATGCTCACCCACGCTCACCCACCCAAAAAGTAGCCGGCCTCCGTCTATTCCATTCTACTCGATCCAGACACCGATCACTTATTGATCCTATGTGCAAGTGTTTACGGTTCATTCAAACACCAAACACGGTGCTCCATATTCGCATTTAATATCACATTTCAGGAACGGAAAATAAGGTTCTAAATAATTCCACTCATGTATGGATTCAGTATCTAACTAATCGACAATGTCCAACACAGTACAGCTAGAAAGCCGTCGAGAAACCAAAACTACCGGTGTTACAATGAAACAAAAAATCGATCGGATGAAAAATCGCTTCAGAATGGGAAATAGTAGCTTCATCTTTATCATGTATTTATTGCGTGAGGTAACATCACTTGCGGAAGCGGTATTCCGAACTCTCCGAACGTGTCGTTCAATCGATTTTAAAGGCTTTTAAATAATATCCAGTTATGTCTGTAACTGTGGGGTTTATCAGTGATGCACAGTCATCATGCAAATTTTGAGTCTATCTCTGGGATTTTTGAGCAGCTCATTAATTTTAATCTTCTGAGCTAACACCAATAGAAGTTACGATAGACCGGGATACATTGTGTATGAATGCACTGTCTTTGCTGTTTGATTGGCTACCGGTTTGAGGAGGGGTGTTCCGTGTCCATATGATCCAGTCAAAACCCTATACTGGTCTCACAAAATTTAGATTGTTCGTATTGTATTTCATACTAAAACTGTTTTGTTCTATACGCCACTTTTTACCCTCTCCTCCCGATGAGCATAGACTTTACAATGCTTTAGGTCTAAGAGGATACACTAGATATCACTCTTTACCACAACTGTTACAAAGTTCCTCCGTGAGCTTCCAGAATACTGTGTAGGGATTAATCAACTCGTAAACAACATGTGATAATGAATGTGATCAACAGAAAATTTCAGCAGAAGCAGATATTTGCTCAGAGACAATAGATTATTCATTTAGTTTTGAAACAACCTTGTGTGAATAACCGTAGAAGGAATGAACCATGTAGTCATGAGGTCCTACTGTTCACCTATGGTTATCGGCAACCTAAACCCTGAGACATAAAATAGGATAGACTTATTATTGAGCCGAACGATAGCGATACTGCCTGCCGCCAAAGTTGAAACCTAGTTACTTAGAACCCATAGTATACCAGCTTTAACATCCTGGCCATCAAGACCGTACAGCGAAATAAATAACTAGTTAATTCAAACTTCTAGAGTTATAATCTAAATGTTTTTCTATTTGGTACTTTGAGATGATATATCAGCAATTTTACGGGTCCTATTTTATCATAAGTCTTTCCCTTAACAAAACAAGGGGTATTAAAGTTAATTAAGAAATTATTAGTTTCTCTATACCCGCGAAGAACATTTGAACGTTGCTTTCGCTTGAGGAGCTGCAGCCATACCATCAGGTGTTTACATGGTGACCAAACCTGATTGTTCGTTATACCAACTATTCTTCGTGCGCTGATTCGAATCCCGGCAGAGTTTGTGAGTACCCGCCGCTGATAAGTCATAGCACTCCCAAAACAGTTGTGCCGCGCTTCTAGAACATTTCACTACACTTATTCAGCACGAGATCTCTGTATTATCATAATGAGCTTAAATCTTTCATGCTGCAGTTGAGATCCTAAATTCTATACCTTAAACCTGTGTGTGTGCGTGTGTGTGTGTTTGTCTGTGTGTGAAGAAGAACTACGCCAATGAGCTCCAAGTTAATGTCAAATTATGCACCTTATTCGGCAGCAAGCTCAGTGGGACAATCTGGTTCGTCGTTCATTAGGCTATTTGAACTGCAGTAACAACATGATTCTAATAAGCGGATTGTTGACAGGCAATCGAACGATTATTCCTACAAAACACTACACAACTACCTTGGTGAATGTTTCAAATTGATCATCAGAAACTCTATGGCTGTGTGACTAATTCAACAGAAAATTGAATGTGATTTGTTTTGTGATTGGATCGGTGAATATTTAAATCCTTGGAGCAGCTTATAGAACTTATCGCTCCAGTGATGCACATCGGTTTGTTTGACTCACTCATCACTACTCATCTTTGAATCCGAGAATGGATCACGTGATTCGGAATAGCGATAATTTGGCGTTTCAATGTTTCGCCATTGCTTTATCGCAGGAAAGATACATGTTTCAGTAAAATTATTTCTTCAGCAACAAGCAGTGCAAACGTCTAAACAAATGTGGATCGGAGATTTGTGTATAGTCCAAAACCCTGCAAATTGTTCATTCGGAATACAATCGCTTGAGGCTAGTAACGAGAAATACCGTCAAAATTTCAAATTGCTTAGGGAAGAAAACAGTGGATTGGCATGTAATAGTGTATTGTTCATCTTTAGTAGAAACGGATCCCGGTGAAAACATGATGACAAGAGTAGATGATGCACTTACTCATAGAACAGCCGTTGCTTATTGTGTCTAGTAGATTATTGATTAATGCAGAACACTAATTGGTACGACTTTTTTTTATTTGTAACCTGGTTCCGCTTTTGATGACGCTGAGTAACGTGAATATTCGTAGAATCTCGTTAGAAAGGCCGCATTAGAATTATCGACCCGGTTGATGACGAAACTCTGACAGGCTGATGACCAATGACAAGGAGCATATTAAAACCAAACTGTAACCCAACCTATTAGCATTGCTTTTGAATCTGTCAGCAACATATAGATTAGTCGAAACGCGAAGAAATTTCTTTTCAATATATCGCTTCAGGCATTAACATGTATAGTTCGATTAGTTAATAGAATAATACAAGACCTAGGCCAAATGTTCCGTTGACCAGAAGCTACGGGGCACGATAGTTGGATAGGGAAAAGCCGGACAAAATGTGTAAAGTGGACACGACATAATGTGTTAGTCAAGAATAAATAAAACAGGCGTGAAAGGGTGCAAAAATACAGTAAATGAGGTTCAGAGGAGCGAGTGAGAGAGAATAGAAAGTGTCACACATATAAATGGGCAATCGTTCTTATGGTCATGGTAACAGCAGCGCTTGAACCAGAGTACGTTGCTTGCGCAACTCCGGCTTCATGATCCTAAATGCTATAGATTCCGCAGTTGTTAAGATCTTCCTAGTTAATCCTTTGGTGTGGTCCTTAGGTGCAGTGAAGAAACTTGTAAATTATGTTTCTGAGTCCATCCTGTGCCCACTATCGACCAAATGTTGCAGGATTGAGCTGTTCAAGCTTCTCAGTTCCTTTTCGAAGAGCTAAGGAACGGTTCGATCAAGGGTTTCCTGAACAACACAAGAACATAACAACATAGAAAAAGGAAAAAGATGAACCATAAGAACACCCACCGAATGATCTTTCTATCACCTCTTACACAAGTCACTCAGCTCTTGGTAAATTATGAACAACGCTCTTACCTATTTTAGTTATACACTGGATAATATGTATATATATATATGTATATATATATATATGTATATATATATACACTGCATCCATGAATGTAACTTCACGGTACTTGAAAAAATATAGTTCCATTTCACCCCAGATAAACCAGCTAGGTTACCTGGAGAGAAATGTCAAAATCACACAACTAGTCACGAAGAACTTGGGTTTCCATAAAGCTTAGATTCAACACAGAAAAATTTATCAATACCCAGGGTTACATGTAAAAGCCAAAATACGTTTTCACTCTAGGAATAATTGTCT